CAAAACAGACTTTCTAAACTTTCTCAAATCATCATGTATGCAGGAATCCTACAAGTGTTGTTCTGGGCACCAACAATCTCAAGATGGTTGATAGCAACACAATGAGATACAGCATCAAGAAGTGCAAACACCCAAATTATACGGGTGTTGCATCTGGGAATGACATCATGCTCCTCAAAGTAAGTAAATCCATTTGGCCTCAGAGGGACGTCACACACGTTTACACTATTTACAACTCGTTCAGTAAAGTTCAACACATTAAAATGTGTCATTTCCAGAGAAGTTAAACGAGGAAAGACACAAGATTATCAGAATCTTCAGGGTCACAACCACTGACTATAACACTGCTGACAGTAATTAATACTAACAGATAAAATGCACTGTAAAAAAAAAAATCTGTATTTTGTAGATTTTACCTTTTCCTTTTTGTTTATCTGTTTACACATTTTTTCATAATTCCACATTACAACAAAATATCAATAAAATTGCTTAAATGGAATGTTATTACATTATGTAATAACCATAAATAATAAAGAAGCATTGAATAGCCATAACATTTACACTGAGTCTTGAAACAAGTCTTGAAAGGATTTTTAAAATGGCAAATCTCTCCCTTATAGGCCCTCTGATGGTAATACACAATGTTTAAAGTACAGCACACCTTGATTTCACAAGTTATCAGCTTTATGTAGCATACATCTTCTCGTTTTAGGATAATAGCTGATAAAGTACAAATATAACTTTTCTTCCACTCTCTTATCTGCATATCCAAGTCCAGCATCTTCATTGGGGGTTTTCGGTTCCTTCCCACTGTTGCGGACTGCTTGCGGACTGCTGAAGCTTATAGGGAATCCAGATGTTTTGAATTGTTGGGTGTTTCTGTCTCTGCCTTTGTGAAGCGCTATGAGATGACTGTTGTTGTAAATATGCGCTATACAAATAAAGTTGAATTGAAATTGAATTGATAGCATAAGCGATGTGCAAAAAACTAGAGAGTTTGATATATTTAGACATCCGGATCCATTTATGCTGACGTATGACGACAGAGGAAGACTGCAAACTTATTTCTTTTCTAATTTCTTCCTATTTTATGTCTCCAGTTGTCTAGGAAAGCTCGCCTGGGCAAAAACGGAAAAATTAAGCCAATTGAAATTCCGAGTCATCAAACAAAACTAAAAAAGCATCAAAAGTGCACAGTGGCTGGATGGGGGGCCACGGAGACTTATGGCTTAACTGTTGACGAGCTGCAAGTTGTGAACGTTCCCTTCATTAACCTGGAAACATGTCAGGAGGCGTGGAGAGGTCAACTTCCTGCTACTGCTATCTGTGCAGGCGGATACGACACAAAACAAGGATTTTGTCAGGTATTCTTCTACTTTTTCATTAAAAAAAATACTGTATAAAAATGATAACTAAAGAGAGAAACGATTGAGATGTTTCCTCCTCACACACAGGGGGATTCCGGTGGCCCTCTGGTGTGCAACGGGAAGCTGGCAGTCGGTATTGCTTCCTTTAACAACAACAATACTTGTGACTACCCAGATGTGCCAAATGTCTACACTGACATAGCAAAATTCCTTCCCTGGATTCAAGACATCCTGAAGAAAAAGCAATGCTAAGAGTAACAAAATGATTTGACGTTGTCTTGTTCATGTACTGCTTTGTCTTAGTCACTTTGTCCATCACCTTTTGAGCCAAATCAGTGTTTCCTTGTGTCACCTCTGTCATCAGTACATGTACAAATGCAAATGTTCACATAACTTCTCTGGATTAAGCTTGAAATATCAATTCTGAGTGTGTTATTGTTCTCCTGTTGTTGCTTAAGACGTTGAGATTCTCAGAGTTAAAAGCCTGCAATATCCACAGACAAGAAGAGAAGCTTTTATGGCACTTTACTTAGAAGTCGAACACTATTCTGGCTGATTATTACTCCAGAAGACTGTGCTCATTTGGCCTGCTGACTATTACGAAACAAAAACAGGAAAGAGCCACAGGTTCTGCAGTGTGACAGAGGTAGCGGCAATGCTCAGACACGCAGATGGAAACTGGCTGCTGTGGTTCATTAGATCATTAGATGCAGCTACATAAAAATATCAGAATATTAGAACCAGAGTGGCCCAAATTCAATAAATGCAATTAAAAATAAATAAAAACTAAAGTGTCACAGATGCAAGATGAAGATAAATAGAGAATTAAAATGAGGTAATGTCCCCTTTCTTTTATACTTTTCAATCCAATTACTTGCGACTAAGATATAATCAAAAAAGAAGACTGAAAGCTGTGTGGATAAACATCGATGACAGAAACTACTGAAGTGTTTGTATTTTACTAAGTGAATTGTTTAGATTTGTGAACATTTGTGAAGATTTTTTTTTTTTACTATTTTCTCATGTAAAGTTTGAAAAGTTTCCACATTTTTGTACCTGCAAGCTGTCATGTTCCATTTTGGACATTATTCTATTGCACTCAAATGCTCATACAAGCTGACAGGAAATAATTCTCTATTGAGTTTTAAAGTGAGTGACAGAAATAAACTACTGGAGGAAAAAAAGAAAAAAAAACTGTTGTCTTTCATTTCTTTGCATGCTTCAGCAAACCTTTCTCACGTTTTGTTGTTATAAGATCTTTACTGATCGCATCAACTCATCATTACAAAACACTGAAAGGTTGCAGAAGTTGCTGAGTTAACGCGCTGCGGTTGTGATGCACGCCCTGCACAGCTATCTGCTGCTTCTTGCTCTGCTCTGATTCCTGTACTACACAAATGACACGACCTTCTTTATTTTAGTTTTTCATTTCAGCACTTGAGAATGAAAAACTTGATTTATCTGTACTATACAAATAGTTGCAGGCTTTAAAGTCATATTCCTCTTATAGTTTCAGATCATGTTATCTCTATTACAACACTGTTTTGATTTTCTCCGTCACCTAAAAGGCCGAACTGAGAAAAAAAATCCAAAGACTGTTAATGGTGTAAGTCTGCATAAAATCTACAGCAGCTAATTAAAACATTAAAACACTGTAATAATGCTTACTTACTGTCTGTCTTTGCTGTTTTTTAGTCTCATAACTGTGACTGTGGGAACATTAGAGCTAAAGCATGCTGCTGAGATCAGTGGTTTGTGGTTCATCTAGGCGAAGATACAAGATAAGAAAAGTTTACGGTATGAAGTGTGTCACGTAGATCCCTTCAAAAGAGGATGGTGTGTTCTGTGTTTAACACGTTTATTTATGTCTCATGTGGCTACATAATAATATGCACAGAAAGAGAACCAACATGCTCCGAAATAAACAAAATCGATTGAATCAAAAGTGATGCAAAATGAAAATGAATACAACAGTCAGTTATTAGTAGTCAGGGGACAATTCATTAATGCAAATAAGTGTGAGTTCACTGCATGACAAAAACGGTGCCACTACGGACAATGAAACATATATAGAACTTAAATGTGACACAAGCAACTGTTAGGCAAGTTTTGTAAATACTGTAATTAGTTACTTGCTTTGCATTGCTAACTGAAAATGTCATCACAATACTTTAGAAATGACTCAACAGCAAAGTGGTTATTTTGCTTTTGCTACTCAGCTGTGGGCTTGTCAAAGATGCCTTTAACAAGTCCCAAACCCCCACACACGTTTCATCTTTTGTATTTATCATGTAGAAAAGGAGACATTGTGTTTTACAAGCAGCTTATTACATCTCAGAAAAGTCACAGACCATCCAGTGGCTTGTTTGGCCTCGGAGGCCGCACACGACTTTCCAGAACTTGAAACTTAAAGGCGCAGCTCACCCTCACTCTCTAAGCAAAACAAAGTGAAACCTGAATGCACACATATTAGTGACTAATATCAGCAGGCCAGCAAGAACATAAGAACATCACCAAACCTGGGGGGACACAGCTTTCTCTGTCGCCGCCCCCATCCTGTGGAACTCCTAACCACCAAACATCCGTAACTGCCCAAACCTATCCACGTTCAAATCACCTAAACTCACCTCTACAAAGACGCTTTTAATGTATGATTGTTTTTAAATGCACTCAATGCTTTCTGCTCTTGTTATTTTGCATGTTCTTGTTACTGCATGGTGTTTTTATTCACTGTGCAGTGTATGGAAAAGAGCTTTATATGTCTTATTTATAAGACATTTAAATAAGAGCACTTTGGAATTATCTGATGTTGCATTTTTCCTGTTTTGCAATCATAAATGAGATATCACTTGAATACATGGATGGAAACTTTTTCAAATTTGGCACAAATGTTCACTTGGGGTGCTGCAAGGTGGAGCGGTGGTTAGCACCCACCGTCCCCTCGCAGCTAGAAGATCGCCGGTTCGCGTCCCGGTGAGGACTTTCTGCATGTTCTCCCCGTGCAGCGTAGATTCTCTCCGGGTTCTCCGGCTTCCTCCCACAGTCCAAAAACATGTTGAGGTTAATTGGTGATTCTAAATTGTCCGTAGGTGTGAATGTGAGTGTGCTTGGTTGTCTGTCTCTAAGTGTAGCCCTGTGATAGACTGGCGACCTGTCCAGGGTGTCCCCTACCTTCACCCTAAGTCAGCTGGGATAGACTCCAGCCCCCCTGTGTCCCTAGTGAGGATTAAGCGGGGTATAGATAATGGATGGATGGATGGATGGATGGATGGATGGATGGATGGATGGATGTTCATTTGCACTCAAGACCCTTGTGACCTTACACACACTATTTTCGGCAAAAAAAAAATCAAGAATTAATGCGCTAATAATGACAAAAATTCAGTTCATGTTGATTGAAATGATTAACCGCTGCAGTGATGACATTTTATATGAAAAAGATCCAAAGGCCGAATTCACCGTCACATAACATTTAACAATATTATAGAGATTTGGTTTCACTAACCCTGTTTACCTAAGAAACATCTTCACTACATATATGAGTCTAGACAGACATGGATTTAACTGGGTGGTGGGAGCATACAGCTGCAAGATGGTGATTTACTTTTTTCTGCATGCTTTCATAACCTTTCCTGTATGCTCATGTTAGGTGAAAATTATTAAATGCAAAGGTCTGATTCACACATTTCTCGCCTCCTCTTCACAAGTATTTAAAAAACAACTAAGGGGACATACACTCCTTTGCAGCAGCCTTCAGTATTTCCAGTTAGTGAGAATACACACTTCAAGATACACATCACTTACTGGCATGTGTCACTCTGATTAGGAGAAATGAAAGTCTGAGTCATAATGCTCCTTCAGATTGTAAGCACTCGGTCAATGATCAAATTATTTTAAGACATTAGTCTCATATGTGACACTGTGAGAATATCGACAGCCAAAGTTTGAAACTGCGGTTTCTCTGACTCATCTAGTTTTCAAAGGTTTTGGTGGAAAGTAGCTCAGGCAAAATCCCACAAACGGATTAAAGTGCCTAAAAGCTGATTCACGAGAAAGGGTTTTTGTTTATCACTTTAAAACATTTGAAAGAAATGATCAGAGAAAAACATGCAAAAAGGAAACGGGCTAAACTAATTAATCCAACAGGCTGTGACATATGTGATCTTTTGTCAGGCAGCAGAACCACAGGCTTCATGTTTAGCATCACAGTAACCATGTTATGTGATGCTTCATCTGTTTACTGACCACATGCACTCTTCCCCACAAGACAATTAAAGGTTGCAGTGAAGCGGAGACGATGCAGGTAAGACAGTCATGATGAAGTGAGCTAAAACCACAGGCTGTATATAAAGGGGTCGTCTTGACTCTCCAAAGACAACAAGCTGAGTTTCCTGCCAAAATGATGCAAGCCCTGCACATCCTCACGCTTTTATATGCTCTGACATGTCTTGGACAAAATGGTAAGTTCATGAAATACAACTATGACTGTCTGGTACAAAAATGAGACATGAACTCATCCTTTTTACCTCTTCGTTTTTTTTTTTTTTTGAAGCACATGGGGGTGAAATAATAAACGGCAAAAAGGTACCGAATGACTTAATGCTGTTTATGGCCTCGGTGCAGAGCAGCGACGGTCATGTGTGTGGAGGATTTCTTGTCAGTGAAGACTTTGTGGTCACTGCTGCGCACTGCGACAAAGCGTGAGTTCAAGCTGTAGTAATCTTTTTGGCTTTTCAATATTGTAATTCTTCTGTCTGACAACAATTACTTACTAATGATCACTCATTCAGGAACCCTACAAGTGTTGTTCTGGGCACCCACAATCTCAAGAAGATTAACAATGCCACCATGAGATACAGTGTAAGCAGATGCAAGTACCCACAATTCAAGGATTCTAAGTTTGGTGATGACATCATGCTTCTCAAAGTAGGTATATTTTTATTTAACCCAGGTGATATTGGATACGATAAAATTCTGTGAAACTTCCACACAATCTGAAACAAAGAACCGACATCCACTTTTTGCACAGTTATATTTTTCAGCAGTTCTGTTTTTTTTTTTTTTAACTTTAAGGTCTAATAGAAGATTTGGTATTGGCTTGTTTTGAATTTTCGTGATTCTTTTTGCATCCCCAGCTGTCGAAAAAAGCTCAACTGAACAACAGAGTGCAACCGATTCGGCTGCCGAAGGGTGAAAATAAACTTAGAGACAAAGCGAAGTGCCGTGTGGCTGGATGGGGCCGCACAAAAACTGGTGGTGAAAGTGTTAATGACCTGCAAGAAGTGGACGTGCCTGTTGTCAATCTGGAGGAATGTAAGAGAAAATGGAGGGTAATGGGACGGAAGCTTCCAAAAAACGTCACCTGTACGGGTGGATCCGGCATAAAAAAAGGATTCTGTAAGGTATGTTCACTGTCACGTCACAGAAAGCATCATCTGGTTTCTAGTAGTAGAAATAATGGATAAACAAATGGAACTTCTTCCCCCTCACAGGGTGATTCTGGCGGTCCTCTAGTGTGTGGCGGGATGGCCGTTGGTGTCGTGTCTTTCAACTTGAACTGCGACTACCCAAATCTGCCTAATGTCTACACAGATACTTCGAAGTACCTGCAGTGGATCAACAAAATTCTCAAGCAAAAGCATTGTAAAACATAACATATCACAGCATACATTTAATGCATTGCAGGGTACTTCTGTGCTTGCTCATAATGAAAAATGCAAAAATAAACTTTGCTTTTTAAATGCTGTGTTTTATTTGCTGCTCATCAGAACACAGATACTATTTTAAATAAACATGTCCTACATGATATTTACGAAGCTGGTTTGTGTCATTTTTGGTTGCACTGAAAAGGCCCCGTAGAGCTTCAAAAACCACAGCTAACTACTAGGCTAAAAAGAATCTCTTTTGCATTGCTGATGAACAGGATTTAAGTCAAATTAGCAGCAGCTTAATACAAAAATAATACAAATGAGTAGTATCTTAGTAGGAGTTGTTTTGCCTTAAACAGGCATGTAAGATGTCTTCAAGTGAAGTGTCCTATAATTGTGTGTTTACCTGCATGCCCTGAAGGTGTATATTCTATTTGCATAAAGCCAGAACCTTCAACTTTTTTGAAATGAAGGTCAAACATATTTTAGACTTTTGGTTAATCAGTACAGTATAAGACGGGTGATGTGGCTTGACTCGTAGCTGCCCTTTAATGGAAACATGTAACTGGGACATTGGTTTCACGACTGACTGTGAGAACACTGATGCTCAAATGTGAATCTGGAAACGGTGGTTTCTGTGGTCTGTCGACTTTTAACAGAATGCAAGCAAACGTTTCAGTCGGCTTCCTCAAGCAGATCCACACCAAAGAATACCGTTGTTTCTTTTGTGTTTCATCCAACTTGATGTGGTTGAGTAAAATCCACAAAGAGAAAAGCTGAGAGTAAGAAAACTTGGCTGCTTTGCCTCGACAAGTTGAAACTTTCATGTTCTCATTTAATCTCTGTAAAATCGTATTGGCTGGAGAGCACAAGCCCTACGTCTTCCAAGAAATGAGTTCATGAGGTTAAAAGCGAACCAAATGCATCTGTGTGCCACATCCTGTTGCACCACCACGGGCCATATTCATGAAGCTTCTTACTACAAAGATTCTCTCTGAAAAGGTACGAAAGACATTAGCCATTCTCTAAGCACTTTCACACACAGTTTAGACTTTATCCCGGCAAAAACAAAAGGTTTTCACAAAGTATTTGAGCTTTTCAGAGAGCTCCTGAGGATGTCAGGAGTAGGGAGGAGTGCTTCTTTAAGCTTAAGAGGAGAAAATGGTGACAAGGAGATATATTCTCCAAATGTTCAATGACAGTGAGTTGATGAAACGCGATGGATTTGATAATGTTTGTGTCAGATATACGTAACAATACCTCCAAAATGCCAAAAATGATAATGATCACAACACTAAGATATCTGGATAAATGAAACAGTGCAGCACTGATGACTTGATGAAAGGTGAGCTGTTGATATCATCTTGTTCATATCAGCTTGATTATGTATTACAAATATCAACATGCAAGCAAGCAATATGACAACTATCAGCATGTAAATAGGCTACTGTGCAAATGGATATTTGCTACACTACTTTTATGTAAGTATGGCTTATATAATGAAGACAGATGTCCATTACATAAAACACTGTTCACAATCACACCTTGTCTTAACAGAGACTCTGATTAATCTCCTGAAAATCTATTGATTTCACTGTCAATCTATGCTCACTATCACAAAGTACATCTATATTCACATTTAGTCTTAGTTAGGAGCTTTCTAAGCATATTCTCAGAATGTTTGTGAATGCAGCCCCACATCTACATGTAACAGGGATCCATGAGACAATGATAGTATCTTGTGACTACCTATATAGATGCATGCAACAAATGCATACAAATATAATGACAATTCAATACGAGGATACAAACCCCCCACATAATAGTCTTGTTTTAACTCGCTAAAGGCAGAAAATGTAAAACGAGTGAGCTTTCCAAAAAGCTGAAACTGTTAAATCCCAACTGTGTCAAAGTTCAGTAGAGGACAGTGGCTCTGTGAGGTTCTCTGTTTGCCATGTTCACCATGTGAGTTCAGCATGCTGGCTCATGCCTTTTAATAATTAGCACTAAATGCAAAGTGTAGCAGAAATGAGATGACTAAGTGTCAAGTCAGTCGATGCAACGACTACAAACAACTCACTTCACTTGATACCATAAATGTCAACTGCATGGTGGCGGCACAGAGAAAGTCAGGGGATTGCTAGGAAATCCGTTAGGAACAGCTGTACCAACTCAGTGATGGAGGCTGAGGAATGCCGCTAGCATGGCTAGAAAGAAGGAGATGCAAAATAGACAAGTAGTGCTTCATGCTGCTGGGACACAAGCATGTTATCAGTATGATAACAAGAAAATGCAAAGATAGGACACGTTGCACAGCATAAAGTCTACAAGGTAAAATAGAACAGATGTAGGTCAGTGTCATCTAGTGGGAACATGGTGTATAAATGGGAGTACTTGTAAAGAGTCTTGTACACAGTCACAAGAATGCATGTGATTCCTGCTCTTCTGCTTAAAAATGGGTCACTGATCCTCTTTCATTTTCGTGTTACCTTTACACCACATTGGAGTGACATTACAAATGGCAAAAAGGCCCAAGAAACTTGCTGTTGTATGTGTCCTCAGTGCAGAACAATAGAGGTCATGTATGTGGGGTGTTTCTCATAAATTAAGACTTTGTGGTCACTGATGGGTGAAGTGATGAGGGAGAACTATTTTCCTCTTCAGTCAATCCTAATAAGAAATCAAATCATAAAACATCTCGGCTCTTTAAAACCCATTACTTGCTGTCTGTAACGTTAAAAAAAGTCTAAATATAGCTGCTTTAGCTGACAAAACATTTCAACATTTTGATTTTTTGTTTGAATAATTATTAAAAATCTGCTGTTATACAAATCTTACTAAATTAACACATGCTCTCTTATGGTGAGTTAAAACATTCAAAGTCAGCACTGAAGCTCCTTGTTGCTAACACATACTTATTAAATGGATTTAAGCAGCGCATTAGTTCACAACTGTGACTCTTACACCACTGACGCTAAAGGAGAGGCAGGAAGCTGGTCTCTGTGGTTCATTCAGTTTGTCAGATTGCAAGGAAATGTTAGCGTCGCTATTTCAAACAAATACTCTCTGGTATACTGACATTATTCATCACAAAGATAATAAATATATCAAAGTTAAGACTCATGAAATTCACCTAACTTAAGTTCACTTCTTGTAAAAATCACAGTGTGAAAAAAGCAGATCCAAAATAGCTCAGAGTCAAAAATGAAATAAAGCGACTGAGAAATACGTAAAATACATCTTAAATGAAGTAAAGAGAAGAATCTAATGAATGAATCAGCAGTTTCCTAAAACCCAGAGGACAGTCACAAAGTTTCTACCAACCCCCAAAAATGTGGTATTAGTCCAAAAAAGTTGCTTGATTTGTAAATGAAGAACAAAAGGAAAAAATCCTGAGGCTGAAATACAAAAAGGAAATTTAAAAGTCAATAGAAAATGTTAAAAATAATGAGTGAAGAAGAGTGAATTCATGTGACAGTCTGCGATAAACTCATCTCATATTGATACTTTGGTGCATGTAGCTTCACAGTAGTGCTTGATCATAGATATGAATCAGATAATACAAGTCGCAACATGGAAACTTACTTTGTACAAAGGATGTGGTCAACTCAAGATAACACTGTCAACAGTCCGATATGCCATCTAGCAAACTGCTATATAAAGAGATAAGCTGTACCCCACTAAGAAGACAAGTTAGTGATCGTGCTGGCATCATGAATGGTCTGCGCAAACTTCTGCTTCTGACATGTCTTGGACAAATTGGTAAGAATTCTAACTTTGATTATTACTCTCCAGCTATTCAATGGGCATTAACTTGATTTTGACTTTTACTGAAATTTGCAGCACTCGGGAGTGACATCATAGATGGAGAAAAAGCCCCAGAGAACTCGCTGCTGTTTATGGTGTCGGTGCAGAACGTCTTTGGTCATGCATGTGGAGGATTCCTCATTACTGAGGACTTTGTGGTCACTGCCGCGCACTGTGACGACTTGTGAGTTATCAACCTTCTTCTATGTCAATTCATGTCATTAGAAAGCCAATTTAGAAACTGTACTGACCATCTCCTGATGATTTCTCCATCAGTTACCGTACTACACATGTTGTCCTTGGCACCCACAATCTCAAGACGAACCCTAAAAAAATAATCATTGAAAAGAAATTCAAGCACCCATCATATCAGGATGTTGGACACGGTAATGACATCATGCTACTTAAAGTAAGTATGTTTTCATACAAGCTACAGTCTCATGCGACAAAATTGTGTTTTTTGTTGTTTCTGTTACCTAACAATACATTCAGCAAACCAAAGTGTTATTTCCAGTGAAGGCAAAATGTAACGCACAAATACAATATTCCAATATTCCAGCAATTGCTTGG